CTATTATGTAAATGCGTAATGCATTTATGTTAAAGTAATCATAAATATTTTATTATATAAAGAAGTAATTAACCAAGACCCTAATACAGTTTTCCGAATGAGACCCTATAAGTAAAACATTTTTACTGCCCAAAATTCAAATAATATAATTGCCAATATACAATTTTGATAAATGATGATATTCAAATACTTTAGATAAAAGATAATCATGTGAGTAATAATGATTATTATTTTACCCATACCATTGATGCTTACGGTATTGACAACTTGTATTTGAATAAAACTTATTGTTATCATTCCAATGTTTAGTTCAATAAAAGACAGATTAAAATTTATATACCTGGGTACAATATCTTTGTATTCAAAGCATTATCGTAGTGTCTATATAGATACCTCTGGTTCGGGCTGTCCAATGATGACGCAATCGAGTCTAGTGCTAATTCCTTCAACAATACTCAAATCCTTAAGTGGCAACTGTATTCTTGGTGCCTTAGGCTCCATGTTAGACTGAAGTACTTTCGATGGCACCGTCGTCATCGGGATAGAGCTAGGTGGCTCTTCTACTACGCTTGTTGTAGTCGTCGTCGTTGTCGACTGTTCAATTTTCGCATCTACAATTGACGTCGACTTCTCGATTTTCGCTTCTGTGGTCGTTTGTGTCGATAATGGCTCTAGCGTGGTATCAGGCACTAGAGGTGCAGTGTCATCGACCGGAAGTTGAGGAGGAGGAGGAAGAATAAGCTCGACGTCGCTCGTATCCGAGGGCAAGGGCTTGACCTTGATGGTGACGTCGCAGCCGGCACTAGCCTCACCGGCCGCGTTATGCACCGTCACTTCGTACCTGCCCGCGTCTCCCGGACCAGCCTCGAGCAGCACCAGTCTACTCTGGCCGCTCCTTTCGTCTGATTCGATCTGCGAACAATACACAACACGCGCATCAGCTTTTCACTCGGGGTCATCATCATCATTGTTATTATCTTCATCATTATTATCATCTTTCTTTTCCTCCCTCTCTCTCTTTCTTTCTCTTAAACGTACGTGTGATCAACCGTTGTACAGCTTTTACTACTCGACTTAGGCGGTAAAGGTGAGTAAAAGCGAATAGGAGAGCAGAGAGAAAGAGACGATGAAAGCGAGAGCGGGCTAAGAATAGGCGATAGTCCCGAGGAAGGAAGAATGGAAGCAAAGACGATGAAGAGCCGGTAAGCGCTTCTTGCCCGACCGATTTAGACCGGTGGTACTGAGAGTTGCGTGTGCGAGCTCGGGTTAAGGGCTGCTGAGCGCGACCTTTTTACTGGGCCTATAAATATGAGTGGAAGCCAAACTTTTGTCAGTGGAGTGTATTGTTGAGTAAAAAAAATCGTTAAATAAAAAAATTGATGTAAATATTCTTCAGTTTGAGTTGATCATCCCGAAAACTAATTTTCATGTATAGGTAGCTTAAAAAGGATGTTGATCAATAGGATGAATCGACGTAGGAGATTAATATTTTATTTTTAGAATTTAATTCAGTAAAAGAATCATTTTACTTAATTTCCATACCGTTATGGATTGTACTTCGTCCAAAAATTCGCCCTCTCGTGTCCAGAGAAATGAAAAAGGTGGAGATCCACTTGCGAGACATTCTAATACAATTTTTTCTCCAGTAAAAGCTGTTATGCTCACTGGAGTCCTTACGATTCTTGGTATTTCCATGAGTAAGTATTTACTCTGTGGTTGCATAGGTATTGCTGAAATAAAAAAATTTATAATGTATCAACCATCTCTATATATAAAAATTTAAATAGACATGTCATAGTTTTATAACCAGCAAAATTATCAATTGATTTCAAATTAAAGTTATTTTACTTACTTTCTACCATTAGACATGTCGAAGTGGAGTCGTGCCCGACGCGGTTACTGGCCTTACACGTGTAGGTACCTTGATCATCGACATATACTTCATCGAACTTTAATATTGCTTCGCCGTTATTGTATGTTGTAACATAATCCGGTGAGTTATCTATATTTACATCGTTTTTGAACCATTGAACCGTAGGCAGTGGATTTCCTTGTACTTTGCATTCTAACTGATGGGCTGAACCTTCTATTGCCAGTGAAGGACTCAATTCTTTGACAAATACTGGTGGACTTAGTTGTTCTTCTGGTGATGTTTCTGTGAAAAACAATCATTGATAATTTCTTTATATCCATTACCACTTAAAAATAAGATTTAATGACCTCAAAGTTGTTTGTTAAAAAACCAAACTACTGCGTTTGTAATACTTTAAATCGGTATACTCTATTAACGATTTTGCTTACACTTCAAAAAATCATATTTTTGAGCCAAGAATATTAAACCAGAAGAAATTATTGCAAAACATTTGCAAACCTCTTTTCTAAATTCCTTGGCTCAACAAAACAAACAATGAAAACAAAAGTGATTTAGACATACCCTTGACAGTCAAGACAGCTTCAGTCTCAGCAACTCCCGATTCATTCGTAGCTTTGCAATTAAACTTTGCCGAATCTTCGGCAAAAGTTTCCTCTATAGTAAGCGTACACAGCCCATCCTTGCAATCGATTTGATAGTCCGGATTATTGACAATACGAACGCCATCTTTGAACCAGTCAATTTCAGGCTTTGGCTGGCCTACCACACGACACTCAAACGTAAATTTCTCACCCTCTTGAACAGTTGCATCGTACAGCAATGCCGTAAATTCAGGTTTTCTGGATTTCTCCTCTGGAACGATACGTTCTGGTAAAGACGATGGTATCGTTGGTTGTGGTGATTGTTGCTTTTCTTGTGGTGACTGAGCTGTTTTACTTGTCTGATATTTCACGCTGTTGGCTTGTTCTATTATTGGCTGTTGATGCTGTTGCTCCTCCTGCTGATTGATGCTCAAAATGTGCTTCTCCTCTATTTCTGACTGCAATTGTTTGAAACTGTGTTATTGTATATGTAGAGAGTGATGTATATATTAGATTTATTTTAAACACTCATAAACTTGAACCATTTAGAGTATCAGGTGTCGCTTTTCTCAAAACAAGTTAAAATAAATTTCTACAAACCTATACAATGTTATGTTTTCGTTACAACAAATGTTTACTCGAGATGTACCAAATTAAATAAAGGTTCAAAACTGACTTAAGCTACTTGTAACGATATTGCCAAATTTTCTACAGTTTTGTACTGAAAATGGGTACGGAACAGTATCGCAATTCTCACCTTGGAAGTTATGTGAACTTCTTTCAATATCTCTTTGGTAATTGTCTCTTGAACAACGCTTCTACTGCTTCCAGCATCGATTTCACTTGCAGCCTCGGTCTGTACGGACGAACTTGCCACCTTTTGCCTCTCCTTGGTAATATTCTCCTTCTCAGCTTCCAATACAGCCAACCTTCTTGCTTCCTCGGCTGCTCTCTCGAGCGTCTCAGCCGTGATGGTCTCAGCAATCTTGCGCTTATACTCGGCTTCCTCCGCGGCAGCTTGAGCTGCACTGACTTCGGCTTGGGCTTCTCGCAGCCGAGCATCAGCTTCTTTGCGCTCACGTTCGAGCTTTTTCCGTAAATCTTCGGCATTCCGCAAATTCTCGGCAAGTGTGCGGAGTTCAGATGAGATGACTGCGAACGAATCCAACATTTCGCGATTCTCGACAACAACGTCGTTAAATTGAGGTAGACGGTGTGTTCCTACAATTGGTTTAATAGATTCGCAATGTAAATTCTTTGGTCGTATGCTTTGGGGTGATTTTGTCAAGTCAATACGATAAGGATCTTACCAAACACTTTCGTCGATAGCTCTCGTATTTTTTCAATTCGCCGCTCCTGGTTTTCCTCGCCGGGTTTTAGAAAATCATTAATGTCTTGTAAAAGTCGTGTAGCATCTTCGGGACTCTTAACGGAAGTAGCTTTTCTTGCGACAGCGATTAACAACTTACTACCCTCTTTAAACCATTCCTTGGTTTTCTCGAGTAGTTCGAAGTACTCGATACTTGAGTCGATCTTTTTTCTTGTGTCATCGGTGAGCTTTTTCAATGTTTGTAGTTTATCGTTCAAACTGCAAAGTTCATTCTGAATCTTTGGCAAGTGTTTACCAACAGATACTTTAGTATCTCGAGTGAATTCCATAATTCTTCGTTCAAGAATCTACAAACCGTCTGATTCAGTCTTTGATTCACAAGGATAATGTAAACGTAATATTTACTTATATCTCTAAAAATTCAGGAAAATATATTAATAACGATGTACTCACGTCCAAAGTTTTTTCAAATTGAACAAAAGCCTCAGATGCTCCTCTTGCGGAGTTAAGACTCTCACCAACCCAGCTTGTAATGGTTCCTAGTTGATCTGCCAAGTCTCGAAGCTCAGCATTGATCTTGTCCAAATCGTCTCCAAATAGACAAAAGTCCAACCTCTCCTGCAGTCTCGTTCTCGTCGATGTTGAAAAGGAATTCCAATGATCAACAGTGATCCTAAATCCTTGGTGGAGTTTCTCGATGTCCTGACGAGCTGCCTCAGGGGGTTCTAGTTTCTGGATTTTGGTGATGGCTTTTTCAGACTCCTGCTTGGCTCGTTTGAACACTTCAGCGATCGATTTGCTGAATGATTCGAGACGCTCCAAAAGTGTACGTACCTCGTGGAGCGACTCTTTGTTAAGAGTGGGCGAGGACTCGTCACTTTTACGCTTCGTTTCTATTTCATTTTCTACCTACTCAATAAAATTTAATCAAATTAATAATTTTACATCGATTAAATTAAAAAAAATTAGATTCTTGTACATAAATCACCTGCGAAAGTTTCTCAAATACAGAGATGAGATCATCGAGGAGACTTTTGTAATCTGATGCAGTCGATTGGAGTCTTTCAGAGACTTGAGTTAATTTTTTCTTGATTCCTACACTAAATTGGTCGTCTACAATGGGGTTCGAAAAATGAAATCATGATTCGAGTCATTTGAAAACCTAAGAGTTCTAGATGCAATATTTTACATACCTTTCAAACCAAAACCCTCTATGCTCTTCATTTTAGCATTCAGTTCAGTAACAGCATTACTGAGTTCAGGAAGAATTTTTACCCTCGAGTTTTCAAGATTTTTAAAAATATCTTGTGGCTTCGCTGATTCACATGTAATTACAGGGTAAATTTGTTCTTTGAACTCTGAGACCCGTTGTATCGTCTACAAATTAAGATGAATTAATAATATTCTGTTTAGTATCAAAAACACAATACAATAAATTACCCTAGTGCTCTCTTCCAGTCGCTTTTCTTGTTCTATTCGAAGTTCCTTCTTTATAGTGGCCGTTGTTATTAAGCTCTCATATTTTTGGGTAACGTTGAACTGACGATTTTTGAACTTCTCAATGATTGATTCTATGCATTGACATGCTTGCGGTAGGTAGAGATAAGAATCGACAATCTGTAAGGAAATTCAATGAAATAGTGGTATTGACAATCAATACCACAACTTCGAGATAAATTACCTTTGCACTTTCATCCAGGAACTTTTTCCCGGTACAAGTGAGATTCGAGTAACGAGGCTGCAACGTGGACCACTTCCTCTCCAACTCTTTCATCCTGTCGTCGCTCATGTCATCGATGTTGCTCTTCAAATCTACTTCTATCTCGTCCAACTCGTTTTCAAGATCAGTTGCGGATTCATGGAAGTCAACGTACATCGCTGCCAGCTGCAGCCTGGCTTGTAATGCGTTTCGTGACATGATCCAAGAACTTCTCAGAGCCTCGATTTTATCGAACACGTCAGCCCTCTCGGATTCTTGTAAGTGTTCCAGAACTTCACTAGGTACGACTTTGCGATCGAGCTGATAAACTTCCTCTGCGCGTTTATCTAGCTCTTCCAATAATTCCACGTGGAGCTGTGGATGACACAAAAGTCCTCGATTATTTACAGTTTTTCAGAAATCAAAGTATTAACTGCTTCAGGTCATTTTCTTTCAAACTAAAACAAGCCAGATTTTTCACTTTATTCTTTATTGCAAAGTTTTTCTCGACATCAGTGCTAACATTATACTGAAATACGTGGAAATTAATAACGCGAAGCATTATCCAAATGACTTAGGACCTCTCCCAATTTTACGTATGTCTTTATTACCAAAATATCGATCTCAAACAGTAAACTGTTTACTTGGATTTTCGACAAATAATCTATTAGATTTATTTGCTTTTTTGAATTCTAAATTTTTTTCGGGTTTATTTGGGTCCATTAGTAAGTAATTCCTATTCCCAAAAACAATTTCAACTAAAGGATAAAAGATCGTGTCTACGGTAATTCCAAGTAGTTACGGCTTACCCTGGAAAAATCTCTAGCTGCCGATGAATCACTGCCCATATCCTGATGTCTCCTCAAGAAACTCTCAATGGTGTCGGAGAGCCAATTTGATAACTCTTCGAATTTATCCAGAAAATCGCTGAGACAACGTGAGACTCTCACATTCTCTTCTCGATGAGCTGTGCAGCGTTCGAGCAGTCGGATTTTTCTGTCTTCGATATCCTCAACTGTGCGTCTCAGTCCCTAAAAAATGTAAATACAGATTTCGAAATAGTATCAATGAATCAAGTTGTAAAGTTCATAAATTAAGTATTAAAAAAAAGGTCGATTACACTATTACAACTTTATTTGTGCTATTTCAATCATTCAAGTATACAAACATAATTTATAATTGACAAACTTTTTTTTTTTAGTTTGAATATGTAACTCTATATCTACCAAAAAGGAGTTGGTATTATTCATTAAATAAATTATTCCAGTCTCATTAAATAAACTTTCAAGGAACAGAACAATAACTAGGGTACAATTAGAATAAATCTTTAAAATTAAAAAATTTTGGTACCCCCATTCTTAAAGATAACGAAAAAGACTTAGAAAAAACAAGAACAAAATTTTTAAGTGATCAATACTCGCATACATACATCACAATCGGAAAACTCCTATATTATGGTCAACGTTCGCACTAGTACTTGCAGTAACGTAACCATTCAACGATACAATGAGCACACCCAAATTAATCGTAACAATTGCGTGTCCACGGCAATTTCCGCAAACAATTACACGTATCTGTCTCATTGATATGTCCATCGAAAAAATTCAAAACGACGAACGAACAATCTTACCTCGCTGCCAGGTGCTTCTCTACCCGTGGTTTCCAGAAGGGCGTGACCCTCAGCGATAGGTGCGACTGTTACGTCTTCCAAGGTCTTGGCCGACTCTGCGTGAAGTCGTGCGAGTCCTGAAGAACGTGACGGATGCTCCGTTGTTGCCAGCTGGATCTCAAGCTGATCGAGTTTGGTGAATGCCTTGAAACAAATCGTTTGATTGTCATTGTCGCGAGTGAGGTGCGTTAATTTTATGAATATCCATCGTGGGACTACGGAAATATGAGTATTTGATTAAATTTCACTATCGATTACATGGTGGACAACTCTGCACTTTGCGACTTTATTTTTATAGAGACATTTTTTGTAGCAACCGAGATCTACATGCCAATAAAAAATAATACCTGACAATAAGTAACCTCGTAATCATTGTAAGTGTACAAATTATAACTGCAGGTAACGCGATCTATTTCCAAACCTAAAGATCATTAAAGTTTCTTAACAAAAACTGAAAATTTTGGGAACAAATATAAAGGAGTTGCCAACCGTGAGTGAAGTGTAAATGTGAGCGAAGATTAAACAGACTCCGAAGTAGCAAAATTATTCGGTTTGTCATAACAACATACAAAGTAAATTACTTAATTCTTACTAAATTACTGTAACTTTTTAAAATTCTAAAGATGCAATAAATCTTAAATATACAAACTACAAATTAGTAAACCAATAATCTAGTTCCATCGATTATCATCTTAGCCGTATCGACTGTAACAGTGCCAAATAAACTTACCTTTCGCGCGCTCTCGAAAAAGGCAAGGGCGCGATTCAGCAACAACTCGTACTGGTCGAGATCGTTTACGTAATCCGCGGCGACGCTGAGGACCGCGTAGGCCTGCTCGGTTGCCTGTTCTCCTGCAAAATGGCCCGAAGACACCAGCTGCTCCGTCTGTTTCGTTATTTTGATAGCCCTGTCCTGGAAGTCCTGCGATTAACGAGATTTATTAGCTCACTGAACTGACGGAAAAAAAATGGAGGGGAGATAATTAGCTTTTTAACGGTAACGATCACGTTATGACCGGTTTTTGCTGATACAAAAAATATTGTGTACATAGACGTGATTTTACTTTGAAATTGAAGTGTCCTTGAACGTACACGCTTTGTGAGCTATGCATATTGCGTTTGGCAAAAATGGAAAACTAATTCTAAATATGATCGTGCTCTATGAAAAATCGCAAATTTGTACGTTTGACATGAATCTTTTTTAAATCACTCTAAAATCGGCAGTGTCACAGCTGTCGTAAATCGTAAATCAAATGATGTCACTGTGTTAAAAGTAGCGTTATCGTGACATCATGAGTCAAGAAGCTTGCACGTGCATAATCTCAGTACGAAGGCTTAAAAAACGAAGAATAATAGAAGGTTTGAAAAAAATACAACGTAATGGCCTGTATTGTTTGGTGGAAAAAAAAATGAAGACTATACACATTGAACTCATTGTCGCTGGGTAAACCAGTGACACGCGTGGTGGCTTTGTTCTGATCCTCTGTTTTGAACAACAAAACATGTATATACTTGCTAATTGCTTAATATTTGAATACAGTGGTTGTCTGCTTATTTAAATTTTTTTGAGATAAGCATGATGAGACTCCATAAACATACTCCACTGAAAATATTTTCCAAAGAAAGATCGAATACCTTTCGAACCAATAACACGCAACATTGGATAGCATTATAATTATTAATTTTTTTTGGATCAACGTTTTCCTAAAATATTAATACAAATGATACTCAGTAAGTGACCATTCCTACACAGAACCTGCCCCTGATTACCCAAATAGAATAGCAAAATGAAAAATTAATTGATCAATAAATCGACCCGATTTGTAATCCTGAAAATAACTTTCCAAGTAATCATTTAAAAAAACCTACCTTAGCCTCAATCTGTAACTTTTGGAGCTCGTAGTAAAGGATCTCGGCACTAGCCGTCGAGTCGCCGAGATGGTTGCTGCTGCTGGACAGCGCGTTTGCACGAACGGTGAGGATGTCCTCGAGCTCCCGGAGATCAGTGGCCAGAAGCGCCAGAGCCAAGCACTGCTCGAGTTGGGTCTTACGGCTGCGGAACGATAACTCGATCAGCCGGCGCTTGTCGTGCAGCTCCTCCAGCCAAGCCTCTACCTTGTGCATCGCTGGAAAGAGGTGCGATTCGTCCGGTTAGTGAAGAGGTGCGATTTGATAAACGTGAAGATTATAATTTGCTTAGCATCTTGTTTGGCTCTAATGTGGTAGTGAGGTTTAAAGGTGACAAGTAACTGCTTGAAATTGGATTTGAAACACATATCGTGGTAAGCTAGAGTACCAGAGAAAACGTTTTGTATCAGTTGAAATGACTAAATTGGTTGTTTTGAGAAATAAAACATAGTTATAGTAACACATTTTCGTTTATCGATTAAAGTCAATGCTCATGTATCATTTAAGTGTATTTTACGTATTTTCTACTGATGATCGTCAATCATATCAAAAAGTTTTATTCCTTAAGGTTGCTAAATCGGAACTCACGATCAATGGAGCTTCATCACTTCTATTATATTCAATTAATTTTTTCACAAGGGTTATTAACCTACAAAGTATAATCCCACAACTTTATAGCCAATAACCCCATAACTACACAACGAATAACTCTAACAATCCCGTTTATTTATGTTTATTTATTAATGAAAACTAGATTTTTCGGTTCACTGAATCAGAATAAAATCTTCAACTTCGTTTTTTTATTATTACAAAAAAAGTATATAGATTTTGTTAAAATGGTGTTCGTATTTACCACTTTCAGCATCGGTCTTTATTCTGTCAGGCCTGGAATCAAGCGTTCCTTCTTTAACGATTTCACGAATATCGTCCAACAATTCTTTGCCATTTTTCAGAGCACACATTAAATTTTCCAGCATCGTTTTCCTCAATTCGTGAATTTTTTTCAATACATTTTTTACAGCTTCAATTTCGATCGGTAATAATGTGTCGTTGCAAGCCATCTCCAACGTCTGCATACTTTCTCTGCACTCTGACGCTCGACTGTGAATATTTTATCACTGTTCAATACTACTTAAACTTTTATTTTATTGAGTATTTAACAGAAATTATTTCTTTGATAGTTAAATTAAAGTGTTTTAAAAATATGCACCATTGAAAGTAAACATTTCGCTCTAAAATTTGTTTTCGCCGTTCCAACAAATCGTTCACATCTTTCCAGGCACTGGCAAGAGTTTCGGCCATTGCTTTGTACACTTCAGCCTTTGGTTTTTGCGTCGATATGACTTGATCAGCCTGTTTGAGTAATTCTTCGACCGGACTTTGTTTGCTCTGAAAAAATAAGAGAAAAAAAAATTGTTCGCTATGTAAAATATGAATTGATAGCCCTGCAGCCCTTTTACTTGGTTTTTTGTATTTGTGGGGTGATAGAGATATGAACTTGTGGTATTATTATAAATGTAAGTATGTAGACTTATACTTACATTTCTTGAATGATGACAATGTATAAAAAAAATTCAATGAACAGAGTGAAGTGTTTATTAGAAAATTATGAGAAGCAATTAAAAAAATGGTTTGTCACGTGCATAGTAAAGTCAAATATGAATTGAAAAAAAGGTATTGAATCTTAAATAACATTTTCTCGTGTTTACCTGCAGACGAATGAGTACTTCATTGTGAGCATCCAAAAGTTTCGTTGCCTCTTGTGGTGAAGAACCCAATTTCGTTAGTTCTGGTTGTATATCTAAAATTTTTAGACGCAGCAAGTCTCCGCTCTGAAAAAATAAGAAATCAGGATATAATTAAATACATCAACGTCTAGTGTTTATTTTCACATTTTGGTATCTTGTCAAATTAATAAAAATTTTAAGAGTTCTTTTACTCTTTATTTTTTTATTTGCTTGACAACGCTTACCTATCCCTATCATATGTCTGTGGTTTTGTTTGCATTCTAGATATGTATTCACAAGAAGAGTGTCTGACCATTCACGAACAAAATTTTGATAGTATTTCAAGGTATAATTTTTGTCACCCTAAAAATAAAAGAAGTCACTTTTACAATGACTTCATAGGCCCTCAATATCTCGACATCACACCTCTAAGCTCATGTCCTACTTGTATCATTCATATTTCGATTAATGGTTGTAGTCGAGCCGCTGCGGTCGAGTACTTCAATTATATTTAACTAAGTTTGAATCTAAGTGTAGCGTCTGTAGCTCATTTATAAGCAATAAGCAATTGACCAGAAAGTGTGGTATCAATATTACAAAGATTTATAAGACCATATTTAAAGTAATTTCTTTAAGTTTGGGGGTAGGTAACTATATTTCACGAAGTATTACTTAAATTCTACTTCACCAACTTCACACTCGCATTAACAAACAATGGATTACTGTAGTAATTGCTTAGACTCATGGTTACTTTTCAAATCTGTAACGACGTGGTGCCATCAGAAAATGCTTCTTTACAAAGTATTCAAATAATCGGTTTCACGCGATAAATAAGCAAATCGCAAACCACCTTAACTAACCAAACTAACCCTCGTCTTTACAGAAACACCCAAAAACGATGCATTTCTACACAAACTATGTTTCCCGCATTGTACTATTCAACTCGAACAAGCGATCCAAATAATCAAAAGGGTTTAGCTTTCTGAGACGTTAAAGCCTCCGATTCTTTTCCAATGTGCGTGGGCGCGTAGTCAAGCCAGCAAAGCGAGAGAAGTCAGCACAATGCGCTCGGACGCGTCGCCGGCTGCTATTTTCGAGGCGCTTGTGTTTGTTTATAAAGTCACGGCTGATGTACCTGGTTCGCCGACCTCAGCGCGTTGGACTTCTTTGGTCTAAGTTCCAATGTAGGAGGATACTTTCAAGGGTTGGAGAGTTTTTGTAATGTGGATGAGTCAGTGGTTAAATATGGAGGCTTAACAAAAACTAGAAAGGAATTAGAAACTTAGAGAAAGTATCGAGCTATTGATCCAACGAGGGTTGGAAACTAATCGTAAGTTACATGGTTCGGCAGAAACACTCAATGATCACGATGTGATGAGTTTTATAAAGACAGGTGCACCAGTATAGATAGATTTTTTTATGAATCATCAATTATAAAAATTTCATTTGATGTTTTGTACTCGTGCGCAAAAATAAATTTATTTTTGGATGGTTATAAAATATTGACGTTAAGTGACTACTGGTTACTGTATCTACGAAGTGTATCGCTGCGTTTGAAAATTTTAATTCATTTGAGAGCTTTCCAAGGCCAATCTTCCTCGTTCTATCACTACTGCATGTTTAAAAGAACTTTTATATTCAAAATGATATCCTGGATCAAAAATAATTAAAAAATTCATCATTACAAAGTTTGATGCATACACACAGTTGTCCAACGCAGGTATAAGATACAATTACTTTTCATTCGTCGAGAACTTGATGCAACAAATTTGACAAGGAAGTTGAATTAGTAATGAAAAAAAACGTTACTTAGGAACAATACTCCAATCAAACGAAGAACCGCAACTTATTAGATTTCAAAAAATACAAATAAAAGAACTTTGTGATCGATAACGATAGTTAATCATCCCAACACAGCACACGATTATCTCAAGCAAATAATTTGTATGAGCATGACAGCTCAACGAAGGATATACGTAAAATGAGCTCTTCTTGAGAACCGTAAACGTCTCGATGAAGGTTTTTCTCGTATTCGCACCACCTCGTCTCCTCTCCATGATGTCTATTCTTCATTAATCGCGGACGCGAGAGACTAATACAGCCGGCGACGCCTAAAACACACCAGGGTCATCTCACGCGCTAACGTCCGCTTATAAGCTAGCAACAGATACCAAATGTCGTATATCCTCTCTCGGGTGCCCAGTGACGCGCACGTACATATATACTTTGGTACATTGGCTCGGCGGCATCGGTGTGCTTTTCCGACGCTGACATCACGTAATTATAACGAGCATCTTTATTTCTGAACTCTAGATACGTGCGTGTTATTATGCCAGCGCTGGTTGCTCTTGGAGATGTAAAGGCGAGAGTATAATCAGTATTCTGGAATCACTGGCCACACTGTGCCATCGTTTGTAGTCCATTGAGCGCTCGTCAATAGATTATTCCTCGTTATAGCAATACCACGTTGTATTATGATTGTGCTTGTGGATTACATGTCATATGGTGAGTGTAATTCGATGGCAAGTGAAGTTTGGCGTGAGTCTTTTTTTTACGTTAGTTTTTTTTGTATTTTTTCTCGTGATAATCCGAACATGTCATTGATGAATAGTCACAATCATGTATCATATTTTTTTGGGAGAAAAGTTTCGTGGTGAGTTTTTTAATTCTCGTAAAATTTTAAGGCACTATTAAATATTATTTGTCTAATTTTCAATGAAGAATCCGAGCAATAATTGATAATGTATGTTTGCTCAACTGCTTAAGACTTATCATGTATAAGATTCAATATCAGTTTTAACATGCGAGAATTATTGTTAGAGTTTTCTAATATTGATTCAACAGGTACCTAAAATACTTTATGCACGCCCTGAAGAATCAATGGATATTTGAAATGTAATCCATAATAAAGAGTTCCATCTGAATTCGAGATCCCCAATCGTTACAGTCTCCTTGTTAAAAATAATGTACGGATTGTATCTATTCCATCCTAAAACTGTCCCTTGCGAATAATTACCCTGAGAAGCAATTCGAATAGGCAAACATCCAAACTTTACCAGTACAGCTGTTGATAAAAAAAAAAATTATCCAACCAACCTGCATCACCGAGCAGTAATCTCAATCTAAAAAACAATTCCAGAAGAAGACCCACTACGTATCCACACCAATAACTCAACACACTCAAACCCTGATTGCTTGTGCGTTTATCGCAGGGGGCCCCCCGCGGGTCTCTTTCTTTGGTGTTCTTAGGGTAGTAGAAATTAACTCCGCGCCTCGCGGTGCGTTGAACTCCCATGCAGCAGCGAACTCTCTCTCTCTCTCTCTCTCTCGCGAGAAACCTAAATGCAGAACCAGATAGCATGTGGCGTGCGTTTACACGCGGTACAAGGAACGGCTTACACGCGTATGCACGAGCGCAAAAGACGAGCCGTTTTTCGAGGGTGTACTTTCGATAGCCCGTGTTGATGTGTGGTTAATGTTGCGATGCACCCGTGGGTTTCAAGAACCTCTGTACCGATGCGTTATTTGCGTGAATGTACATAAGTTTTGTAATGTTCGAACAAAAGTAGTAAAGACAGTTCTCATACATGTATCATGTCCTTATGAGTCTAAAGACATAAAGTTTCAAGCGAATATGTTTGCGCTAGCACTTGAAGTTTCATGAAATAATGATTCTTTAACGCAAAACCAATTGCATCCTGCGAACGTATGTATTAGCTAATTCGTAAATGAAAAAAATCACGGTAATCGAGATGCTTCGAAGTGTGAACCAGAACAGGAATTGGTGGTAATATAACTATATGGATCAACGGAAACTTATGCAAAATACAGATGCATCGTCGATGAGTCAGAGGCGAGTTCAAATAAGTCTCTCTCTATGCTAATCCCTGGCTCGCTGCCAGCCCGATCTTCTTCTTCTTGATTTCGGAAGTCTTAGGGTCTCAGCATCGGAATATCGATCTCTGAAAAAAGATGACGTTTGCACACATATATACAGACGACTTGTCTTAACACTGCGATTGTTTGTACTCCTTTTTCCAAGATGAAATTACCTCCACTCGCAAGACTGTGAGGAGACCAGCACGTGTCTGAAGTTAGCGGTTTGCAGTGGAGAAAGGGGCCCAAAGGAGCTAAATAAGTGTAATGACTTGCTAATTACATGTTGCTTGGGTGCTAATTGTGGATTGCCTTACGCATCTATCAGGAAAATCGAATGAGTTGGTAAGGATTTGGGCTTTGAGAACTTTGGGTTTATTGAAATTTTAACAAAAAATCATCGCATTACTTATAACTAACATGTAATTCGATGTGCTTCGTTGAACATGTAACATTAATCTCTGGCTATGATGTTCAAAAAGGATAATCTTGTTGCAATGTCACTCAAACAATGTATGAATAATAAGAACTCAGCCACCAAGTGTAAAAAAAACCCAGCTTTCGCGGCCCCATCACCATGACATGGAAAACCGCTGATGAACAGACAAGCAAAAATAAATAAGAATGTATCCGCAACACACGGTCACATTTGACAAACCACGAAACACACACTCACGCGGTTACATAGATAAAACCACAAGGGTGAAAGCCTGTAATGAATTAGCTAAGTGTATACTCGAGAGTCCACGCGTGATGGAATTACAGGAGATTTAAATTAAGCATCAAATTGTCGGTTTCATTACATCGCATGGCGTACAAGAGGACCCACATCAGACTGCGGGATGGACTGGATTATTATTACTTTTTTCTCCTTATTCACCTTGACAACGAGGTAGGAGAGCATGGAAAAAACCGGTGTGGGCAGAGGAATCGTCCTTTTTTCCCCTTCTTTTTCTCGTTACGAAAAAGGGAGGGGGACATCAAAAGGGAGTCATTCAGAAACTCTTTGAGTGAAAGTGAAGTGAAGGAAGAAGGGAATAAACGACGCACACGGGAATGCGTACGGACCTTTTTTTTATCGTTGCGCTCGAGGCAAGAGATATCGTGGGAGTGTACATGAACGCATGGAGGTACGCGTAGATTAATGAAAAAGGATGATAATACGTCATTGGTATCGGAAAAGATTAAGTTCACACTCTGCTTGGTAGATGGAATTATAATTTGTTTAA